GATTGATCTCCAGCGTTCGCCAAATTGCTCCATGTAGGGTGGCCTAAGCCTCAAAAGCATATTGTTATCTACAATTTTAACTGAAAAAAATACTGGTTCATAAAAAAGAATGAAGATGTCTTAGTACACAGTGCTGAGCCAACTAATAACACAGAGGAAAATAAACACCAAGTATTGCATCTTCTGTCATAAGCAGTGAGAGCGTACTTGTTTATTAAATGACATTCTTGGCAATTCAGAGTCTGTGTGAGTAGTTCTCCTTTTCCTTTCACTACCCTGGAAATCCTATTAACATTTATGTTATGCATTGTTGATAAAAAAAACATGACCAATCCAATTTAACAGAACAGTCTTGTAAGTTCTCTCTCTTCGGTATTAAAATGTCTGTGTGGTTATAGAGTGGTTCAAAAGGTAACAAGCATCAAGACAATAAAGCAAAGCATAACAGGAGCAAATCAGGATCCCAAACAGCCATATATAAGGTAAGCAAAAGATATACAGTGCACCCATCAATGAAAATCACTCTTAGTCCTTCCTACAGCTATAGTTAGGGACACAAAACAGTTGTCATTGTTTTTACAGACACAACTTTTGGTAACGTTCACCTTTTCTGTAGAAATTTTTTCCATGTTGGAAAAAAGTCCAAAGCAAATATATTTAGGAAGTTTGAGCAAATCCCACACCAGGAAGGCTGCCGATGACACCTGCGCCCTAGTTGAGTGAGCAGTCACGATCACTGGCAGTGGCACCGTGGCCAACTCGTAACAGTAGCAGAAGCTGGCTGTGATCCACGATGATATTCTCTGGGTAGACAGTGGGCAACCCTTCATCTTGTCTGTGACAGCAACGAACAACTGTGCTGATTTACAAAACCACTTCATTCTGTCTATGTAGAAGGCCAGCGCACATCTGACGTCTCGAGTATGCAGCCTGCATTCGTCATCCATCACACGAGGCTTGGGACAGAAGACCGTTAAGTGTATGTCCTGAACAGTATGAAACTTGGAAACAACCCTGGGTAGGAAAGCCGGGTGCCAGTGTAACTGGACCTTGTCCTTGTAGAATACCGTATACGGCAGCTCCAAGGTGAGTGTCCTGATCTCAGACACTCTGCGGGCCAAAGTTATAGCGACCAAGAAAGAAACCTTCCTGGAGAGAAGGAGGAGGGAGCAGGAAGCCAGGGAGTCGAATGGAGGACCCATGAGCCTTGACAGCACAAGATTCAGGTCCTAAGGGGGAACTAGGTCCCGGGCATGCAGACAGAGGCACTCCAGACCTTTCAAGAACCATGCTGTCAAGGGATGGGCGAAGACCGTCCTGCCTTGAAACAGAGGGTGGAATGCCAAAATGGACACTAGGTGCACCTTGACTGAAGGGAGCTACAGGTCCTGGAGCTTAAGGTGCAGCAGATATTCTAGGATGTCCTGCAGCGGGGCCTCTTCAGCCCAAATGTGCCAATCTGAGGCCCAACACATGAACTGCTTCCACTTCGCCATGTAGGTAGCCCTTGTGGAAGATTTTCTGATGCCCAGCAGGACCTGTTAGACATCACCGGAGCACACCTGTTCGTCCAGACTTAGCCAAGACATCAAGTACAGTGACACTAGGTTTGGGTGCAACAGATTGCCATGATTCTGGGACAGCAGATCCAGCCGAAGAGGCAGCTGCAGCGGGATGGCTGCTGAAAGACTCAGCAGCATGCTGAACCAGTGTTGGCAAGGCCACGCTGGGCCTATGAGGATGACATTTGCCTTCTCTTGCTTCCCCTTTAGCAGGACCTTGTGGATCAACGGTACCGGTGGAAAGGCATACATTAGCTCTCCTGATCATGGAATCAAGAAGGTGTCTCACAGGGAGTCCTTGACCCTGCCCAGTGGAAGATCAGCTGATACCGCTGGATGGAGTGACCATTTGTGGCGAGATGAGAAGGTCCTGCTGAGGCGATCTGCCAAGACGTTCTTGGTTCCAGGCAGGTGGGTGGCTACCAGATGAATGGAATGCCACACACAAAAGTCCCAGAGGCTAAGCTCCTCCCTACACAGGGCGGAAGACCTGGCACTGCCCTGCCTGTTGATGTAATCATGACATCATGGCGGTATAGTCCGTCAGGACCTGCACCACCTTGCCTTTTAGGTGGGGCAAGAAAGCCTGGCAGGTCAGGCAAACCACTCTGAGCTCCCTGATGTAGATATGAAGGGCTATGTCATGCTGAAATCAATGGCCCTGGGTGCTAAGCCTGCCCAAGTGGGCTCCCCAGCCCAGATCCAACGCGTCTGAAACCAGGGTAAGCGACGGGGACTGGATTACAAAGAGAACTCCTTGCAGCACCGACTTGGGATCCAGCCACCAGTCCAGGGACAAAAGGACATGGTTCGGCACCATGACCACTCGGTCCAGGGTGTGCCTCCTGGGGATACAGATGGACCTAGCCACACTTGCAGAGGCCGCAGATGAAGTCGAGCATGGCTGACCACATATGTGCACATGGCCCATCAGTCACAGGCAGGTGTGGGCTGTGGTGAGAGGATGGCTCCCTACATGGAAGATCAGGTCTGACATAGCCTGAAAACACACGTCCGGAAGGAAGGCCCTGCCCCGCGTGGAGTCGAGAACTGCCCCAATAAACTCTATACATTGAACTGGTGTTAACGTGGGCTTTTGTGTGTTTATCAACAGGCCCAAGTCGTGGCAGGTGGAACGCACCAGATCGAGGCTACTGTGCACCTGCCCTGGAGACCTGCCCTTGAGGAGCCAGTCATCAAGATACGGGAAAATCTGGACCCCCTTGACATCTCAGGTAAGCCACCACTGGCACGCACTTTGTGAACACCCTGGGTACTCAGAACAGGCCAAAGGACAGCGCTGTGAATGAGAAATTGTGCCCGGCCATGATAAAACGCAGAAAATGCCTTTGACCTGGAAATATGGAGACATGAAAGTAAGTGTCCTTTAAGTCGAGAGCGGTATACCAGTCTCCCAGATCCAGGGAGGGGATGATGGAGACCGAGGAGACCACAGGGAACTTTAACTTCTTGAGAAACTTGTTGAGGCGACGCAGGTCCAGGAGCGGGTCTTAGGCCCCCTTTTGCCTTCGGGATTAGGAAGTAGTGGAAATAGAATCCTCTTCTTTCCATGTCCCAAGGAACCTTCTCCACAGCCCCCAGGCACAGGAGTTTTTCGACCTCCTGAACAAGGAGATACTTGTGAGAAGGGTCCCTGAAGAGGGATGGGGAAGAGGGTCAGTGGGAGGCAGGGGCGGCCGTAAATTGCAGGGTATAGCCCAGAGATACTACATCCAGGACCCAGCAGTCCAAGGTTACCCGCAACCAAGCTGAACGGTAGGGGCGAAGATGGTTGAGGAAGAAATGGGGAGGATCCAGGTAGCTGACTGGGGCGTTGCTCTCGAGTGCACCCTCAAAATAAGTGCTTTTGGCCCCCTACATGTTTGGCAGGCCCAGATCATGCAGGCAAGCGGGAGGAAGAAGGGTGTCGACGGCTAAAACTAGTGTTCCTTCTTCTCAAAGAACCCTGACGGGGCTGCCAGGGTCTTGGCGGCTGGGGGCGGCTGGAAGGTCTTATGAGCAGACAGCGGCGTGTGCATGCCCAATGAGCGAAGGGTGGCTCTAGTGTCCTTCAACCTGTGCAGACTGGCGACTGTCTGCTCGGAGGAGAGACTTACCCCATTGAAAGGAAGGTCCTGAATCAAGGTGTGCATCCCCTGGGAAAGGCCTGCTGTTTGGACCCAGGAGATGCGCTGCACAACCACCACCGATGCGACTACCCGAGCCACTGAGTCCACCACATCCCATGCCATTTGCAGGGAGCATCTGGTCACCACGGTGCCCTCCTCCACCAGGGTGCCAAACTCCTGGGCCAGACCCTGTGGGAGGGATTCCTGGAACTTTTTTGAGACTGTCCCAGAGATTAAAGTTACATCTGCCCAACAGGGCTTGATGATTCGCCACCCAAAATTGTAAGCTGACAGTTGAACACATTTTTTCCCAAAGAGATCGAGCCTTTTGGTCTCTTTGTTCTTGGGAGTCAAGGAGGTGTGACCCTGCTTGTCCTTCTCATTGGCCACAGACACAACCAACGAGTCCGGGAGTGGGTGCTATAAAGGTATTCAAACCCTTTGGCCAGAACAAATTATTTACAAACGGCCCTAAGGCACGCAGTTCATAGGAGAAAAAAACTCTAGCTCTTGCTAAGCAAGGAAGGTGCTCCAACTAACCACCATGGGCGGTAAGAAGGAACTGAGAGAGAATAGGGCCGGTAGCGCCTGATATACCGCTCCACGAGAGCAAAACTCCAGAGGGTGCCACAGCCGACCCTATGGATACTGCTAAGGCAAAAATCTCCGATGATCACGCATGTCAGTGCACACACACCTAGAATGGAATGGACATGAGCAAGCACTCGAAAAAGAAACATTCACCAGAAAGAGAACTTTTAGGTCCCCTTCTCCGCACTCCCTACACACAGTCCCCACTTCAAACTACACTAGGCTGTATTGCCAATGCACTCCATGGGCCTGATTATCTTAAAATTCTGGCCCCTTTATACTGCTTTGGCACTGTAAAGTGGCCTTAAAGGTCACATCTTCGCTAGCGGAAACAGAAGCGTTCATAACTTGTGGTAGCTAACGCAAGGTAAAATCTGAGTGAAGACTCAGCCTGAGTTGCTAACTTGTGTTAAAATTACAAACTGCCTCATCTCCCCAAGGATTTTACCTCGTTAGTTACCATATGTTCACTACCCTAGTGAATGTAAGGTCACAGTGAGTAACTAATTAACTCACTTTCAGCCTCCCTACACTGCCAGAGCAGTGTAGAGGGCCCTTAGTGTAAATGACAACCAAGTCCCATATTTTTTCAGGAGCAGTGAATGGTTATTTCCAGCAAACTTCAGCTTAACACACTGGTTAGCCCAATGAATGCCTCCCTGCTTCATGATAATTGCCTCATCCAGCACCTCACCCCTCCGTAAGTGCACACACTCACCTTGTGACGTAGAGATCGTTGCAGAAAGAACTAGAGTGACTTGAAATGTCCTGAAAAAGTTGTTTGAAGGAAAAATGGCCTCTGTTCCTAAATGAAAAATTTGTATTGCTTTAGAAATGTTCCAGATTTTCAATGAAGAACTGATTTTTTTTTCATTTTCAAAAGCTTTACAAAAATATTAGAAAAGAAAATTTGTATTTTTCTTTCAGAATGTTTCAGCAGAAATCATTTGCCATTTCCATACAGCTCCAGGCAGATGGTACAGAGGGGGGGCCCTTCTTAAGATATTGGCAGCACATCTCACACATGTACACAGGGACTTTGATCCTGAAAAACCTCAAATGCTTCATATGTGACACCACTGAAATCCTGCCACATCTGGTTTGAAGAACAGACAGTGTAGCATCACCAGAGTATGGAAGAGAGAGGAAATTCTGGCCAAGGACCTCAGAAACCATGGCAACTCTTGCAAAAAGGGGGGTGGGATCTTCAGAGAGATCAGAGAGCAGAGAGAACACAGTTTCTTAAGATTTCTTTAGCAAATCAAAGTAATTGTGCTGCAACAAACCAGGATAATTAAATATATGCTACTTGGTGTGTCCCAAAACAAAATGGGAAGTTGCTTCCCATAAAGCAAACATTGGAGCTCCCAATTTCTCTCCCACCATCTCAGAAGTCAGTTTAAATGGGAAGTTAAATCATTATGCTACAAATGCGTAGGGACAACATTTCACTCTAAACATAAAACGCTCAGTCATTTAGCTAAAGATTTACTTTTCCCCCCCTTCTTTTGGCAACTGTGGCTACAGAATTTAAGGATGAAGTTGCACCTGTTCAATGAAGAAAAAAATCACATTTGTAGATGGTCAAAGACATGCAGCTTTAAAAATCAAATCAAAGCCACTATGTTCAAAGACAAAAAGATACCTTTTATGTTTTTAGCTGCACTATTAAGTTGAGGGAAAATGTTACTTTTTCTAGTTACAGGGCAGGACATGCTCTCATTGCTTGTGGCACCATGATCACCACTAACTAGGCTTTGGCAATTTTTCTTTTCAGATGTGCAGTAATTAGATATGCTGTTCCATTCAGGTTCTTCTATCCATCACGGTGGCACCCAATGCAATTCTGGACCGAAACTCTATGGTTCAGAGCCTCGAATGGGGTAAATTGGAAGCTGGAATCTGAGCACTGTGTTGGATCCAAACTCCACAATTAAGGACTATCACTAGCTGTAACTACCAACTCTGGGATTTAGGTTCTCAGATGAAGACCAAAAATGACTAAGAGTAATATTAGATGCATACAAATGATTCAAAATTTTGATTTTCTGACTTCTTTTTTGGTTGAAATTTGAAATTTCAGCAAAGGAAAAAATATTAGATTTTTCCCCCCCAAAGGAGTTTTTGTAATACTTACAGGTTAACAACTTGCAACATTCCCCAACTGGAGAATATAGTGTGTTATTTTAAGTAAATATTCACAATATTGCCATTTTCACTGATTTTGTATCTGAGTAAGTACCGTTCTGTTTAACCGATATGGTGGGGATGGTGTTAAATTTTCCCATTGTAACCTGCCCCCCCATTTGCCAGCTCCTGGAACTCTGGACTGAGCCTCTAGGGGACCCAACCCTATGGACTAGGACAATAACAGCTAGAGAGCTCTCTGACACCATTCCCCAGCATGCTTGGAACCAGGGGTGGGGACAGAATAGATTGGAAACTCCTTCTGAGGCCAATAGGGAGGCTACTGCATGGGATGATCTGGTGAAGGAGTTTGCACGGCCAATGATGAGCCAGGGCTGCTCAGCCCCCTCAGTGGGCAGGGAAAGCCTGATTCAAAGACAAAGAGGCTAGTTTTAGTTTTGGTGCTTGTTGAGCTTTGAGGTTGTAATTGAGAGCGGAGAAGCGTATGTATGGAGAAGTGGATGATTATCCGTGAATGCCAAGTACTCTGCTGCCTGGGGATAGAAATGAGCAGAAGGCCATTCATGTCTGCTTATTTCGTTTTAAGATACTGTTGTTATTCAGAGACAGTTGTCAATGTACAATAAGGTTAAATCTAGAGCTCAGTATGAAATGACAAAGTTAAAGGATCATGCTTCTTTGGCTTGGTGCTCTGAATGCAAAAAAGACCACCTCAAATTCTAAAGCAGAAAACAAAAAAAATGAGAGAAGTTTAATTTAGTTTTCTTTGCATAGAAGCCACGAAAACCACTTACCTTCATCAGTTCAAGGTTTCTCACAATCGGTTGCTGAAATGTTGAATTTTTAGCAGTGTACAATTTAACTAAGAGAAAAATGGGAATTTGTTATTTATAAGAGATCTTGTTTACATAGACTCTCCACCACCCTTTTGTTCCCCAACATTTGGCCATGGAGTTCTGGTTTAAGGCTTCCATCCCAAGCCCACTTTTTTTGTTCATGCAAACAGCCTCATGCAAAGACAATATCCATGGCCTTCTGGGATTTCTAAGATAAAAGGCTGATGCTCACTTCAATCAAGGTTTGAACCCTACAGTAGAAAGTCAAAGAACCAAATAGTTTTAAAACCCAGAGATCAGAGAAGTGAATAAAAGACCACTGATTTTGTTCTTTGCTGCTGCTCTAATATTAACCTCTCCCTGCCACTATTTAATGTTTAAATGCGATGGAACTTTATTTTGTTTGGCTTCTTAGATCATATTCATTACTGCAGCATCTGATTGATACATAGTTGTGTCCATTTAATTACTTCAGGGAAGAGATTCTCTAATTTTGGTGCCTGAAGTTAAGCACCTAAGTAAGAATGGCTTGATTTTCAAATGCCCCGATACCTATAGCTCTAATTGACTTCATTGAGTGCCAACAGTGCTCAGCACTTGTGAGAAGTCAAGCTACTGATTTAGCTACCTAACTTCTAAGTTTGAGCCTCAAGAACAGCTCTGCATAGCACGAAAGTTTGTCTCTTTCACCAACAGAAGTTGGTCCAATAAAAGATACCACCTTTCTCATCTTGTCTGTCTGATATCCTGTGACTAACAGGGCTACAACACCACTCAAGACAAATTTGAAAATGTCAACCACGTGTCTTCCACTAAAACAGTTGCCTGTGTATCTGCATCATCAACACCATAAGCTCAGCTCTTGGGATAATGTGAAAGTTTCCTGTGTTGGCCGTATTGGCAACAGTTAACACAAACATTCTCCTCTTTATGCACAAATATGTAATTCCCTTTAAAATCAGATTCCGCCACATACTCTGTGGCCAAGAATAAAAGATATCAAGTATATTTAGGATATAAAGGTGAAATATAAATATTAATGTTGCACCACAGGGGCTACACAACCCTTAGGCCTGTAAAATATTCTGCTTAATAACACAAGTCCTTAGGCCTGAAATAGGTTGACACAACTAGCTCACCGAGTAATCACCCTATATCTGTAAACAGCTAAATTATAGTAAAAGATGTGCTGATGTTTTGGAAACTATTGGAAACTATGTCATAATATATCAGTTAATATCCCAAGATGACCAGTGGTAACACCTTAGGGAATTTTCACTTTATGTTATTATAGTAACTATTTGCAATGTTAATGAGTTAAAAAGGAATGAATGTGGCAACCTAAGAAAAATGGGGTGCCCCAAAATGAGTGGAATGAGGGAGCACGGGTAAGGCAAAAGGGGATGGAGCCATTGTATGAGCCTTAGTGGGTGTAAGCGTAACTCAGGGGGAAAAAGGTGTTGCTCTCCCTGCGTGCTGGGTGGGTTTGGAGAACACACAGGACGACGACAGGATGGCAGCCAGAGGTGATGGTGACACCAAAGATGATGTTGAGAAGGAAGACAATGACTGACACTCTGGGGGTCCCCCACCACAAGTTGAGAGAGTTGCCAGTCACAGAGGTAAACACTTCACTATCCCTCTATCTGCTTCTGTATTTCAGTGTTTGTTTATTTCAGTGTTTGCGATTGTGTATCTGCTTAGCGGACTGGTTAGTAGAGGACTTGTGATATAATGCAATTCTTTCTTCTGTGTTTCTAGTGGTTCTCTCATTCTAATGATACTGATACTAATATGCCTGATGCTATAGACCTCAGGGGACCAAACCTTTACTGACCATTGCAGTCTAAGAGATTAATCAATACATCAACCCATTGAGAAGGCTACAGCTCATATTAACAAGAGAAGACAGGGTTTTTTTGTAGGTCCCGCCAAAAATATGGCTACTAATTTCTTTAAATTTCTCAGCAACTGAGTGGTAAATTTAGGTATGTACAATATTTATATCTACAAAGGCAAAGCTACACTTCAGAAGATACCCTTTAGAAAGTTTCATCATGAACATACTTACACTGGGCACAGAGCACATTAAAACAATATTGTAGATTCTGTGTTTTATATAAAAATTCCATTCCTCCCTCTCTGATAGAACAGCTATCATGTACACAACACAAAAGTTGGCTGGAGCTGATTCTTTGAAGATACTCAGCCACCAGGCAAAAATATGTACCTGGAAAATGTGCAAAGAAAAATTCAGTTAGAGAAGATAATTGTTTCTTAATTCAAACACGGATAATATGATAACCAAACTGCATCTCTGGTTTATTGCAAGTAGTGGCCTGTAGAAGCTAGGTAATAGACTGTGGATAAAGTTCAAATTCCATTATGGCTAGAGAACAAAATGTTTACATACAAAGAACTACCAAACGTTCTGATGGTCAACTTGGAGACTTGTATGTCTTTTCCTAACACACAGAAATGCCTTCCAGCTTCATGCAGTGTTCCACTCAAGATGCACTCAGTATGCATCCGATGAAGTGAGCTGTAGCTCACAAAAGCTTATGCTCAAATAAATTGGTTAGTCTCTAAGGTGCCACAAGTACTCCTTTCCACTCAAGATGTCATCCTTTAGCATCCCTTGGAGTCCTGCTGAGACTATGTCCTAATTAACCTCCGAGTACAGGCTTCCAGGCACGAGTGGGGAAAACACAAAATAGCTATGTCCACACAAAATAGTGTGCCAACAATGCACCCAATTAAAACTCTCAAAAAGTAAGTTTCACCTGAGAGTCTCTGAATTTCATCTGCAGCACTTATATGGCCAATTAAGACTTCTTTTCATTCAAACTGACATCAAGATAAGTTATATAAGCCGTCTTATTACAGGCCATTAAGTTTGTATTTTAGTCTCTGTAGGGGTTTTGGCCTCCCAAGCTCTTTGGAACAGATTTAAATGTTGCTCCAACATCTTGCTAAAACAGGTAGAATGTTCTCACTCTTGTGAGGAATTCTGCTGAGAAAATGATGTAATAAACAATGACCTGTGAAGAACATGTTGAGTTTATTATGCATATAATGCATTCTTTCCTTTATTTCCTCTTACAGAAAAAGCTATACCCTCTCCTCACCATACCATGATCTTCATCACTTGTGTATGCTGTTCATGTACAGGCTTGGGAAGATAATAAAAGAAGAGACAAGAAGATTTACATCAAAAAGATTGGGTTGCTATGGGAATAAGATGGCAAAAATGTTACATAATCCAACATTAAAAACCCCCCGACAACTGGAGAGGACTCGGATGGAATTGAAACTGTTGCTTCAGCAGATAAGGTTATGATTAGGAACAACTGCTTTCTTTCCCTAATATACTCTCCCCACCCCCTCTCTCTCTATCTCTCTGTGGATTTTATTTTCTATTTAGACCTCATTTATCAAAGAATGCAAAATGGCATTGCCCTTAAAAAGCATGATGCAACAATATGACAAAGAACTACACTAAGTCGTAATATTTTCCAATATTTTGCATGCTATAGTAATTCACTTGTATAATCAGAGCGAAATCTTGGTCCCACCGAAGTCAATGCTAAGACTGGCATGGACTTGAATGGGCTTAGGATGTTCAAATGGACTTTGACACAAATGGCTGTGATTACTACTTTAAAAAAAAAGTACAGTATTTAAGCTTGAGTCTCCTGTCTCCAATGTTTGCCACAAGCTAGTAAGCAGCTGATTATAAATTCATTATCCCATAGCAACAGTCAGCAATAGCCATTCTGATTACTTTTAAAGGTAACATGCAAAATGAGCTGTCTATAGACTGCTGAATTAACAAAAAATCCAAGCCATTGTTAATGCTACTAGTTTATCTCAAACAACACTGTATTCTTATCAGAACTTGTTGGAATTTCTCAGCAGTTGGCACAGAGTGGCATGTTAAAAGCTGTATCTTTCTTGTTTTTAATCAGCCAGTACAGTGATAACAGTGCTACATTTCTAATGTCAGAGGAGGATGAATGTTGGACTTTTTTTTTTGTTCAGGAAAACACGAAGAAAGTTGATTTCCTCTTGCTATACATCCATGATGGGCTTGATTCATTACTCATAAGTCACATGATTTCCTCCATGCTAAACTTGGAAAAGGTGTGGAGCGCAACGCAAACAACTAAAAAGGTCCAAGTCACAGAATCACTCTTCCTATGAAAAAAAGAAAGGAGGACTTGTGGCACCTTAGAGACTAACCAATTTATTTGAGCATAAGCTCACGAAAGCTTATGCTCAAATACATTGGTTAGTCTCTAAGGTGCCACAAGTCCTCCTTTTCTTTTTGCGGATACAGACTAACACGGCTGCTACTCTGAAATCTTCCTCTGAACAATCCCTGGAAATATGTCTGAACAAAAAAGGAGGAGACTGGCTTAGCTAGCAGATTACAAAAAGAGGTGATGCCATTTGAAAAGCCTGCTTTTCATTTACACTTCAGCCCCTTCACATCACTACCGTGAGGTAAAGATGCCATATTGAGAGTATAAACTATATTTCCACTTCAAGACACTTTTCACTGCCAGGTTGGTGTAAAAGATGGTTTGAAGAATCAGGCCTTAAGTGTCTCTTATTATGAACAATTCTAACTTTGCAACTTGATCAATTATTGCACGTTTTATGGTATTAAAAATGCTTATTTGCCATAGTAATCCATTTAGCAGCCATCTCTGAAGTACCAGGGCATTCTTAATTGTAATCTTACATCAAACTCTTCTGGAAATTACTGTTGCTTCCACAATTATAACCGTATTTATAAGAAAGCAGAATAAAATATTTGTAACAGATGCTTTGGTCTTTATAAATAAAATACTTTTGTTTTTGATTTAATGGGGGAAAGGACATCATTTCTATTTTGGACACTTTCATGGCACAGCAACTGTCAAAGACAAATGGAGTGTGTCTGATGCTGCATTTTTCTTCTGTGCTGTCATTTTCCCCCAGCTGCAGAGGCAGGTGCAGTGGATTATTTGCAAACTATAGTATGAAGCACCACTTTTGGCATACAAGGGATAGGATGGCATTGCTGCATTCCCCAATTTAGGGGGTCGGGGGCTTGTGAATTTTTCAAGATTTATTAGCATGCTTCTTTATTGACCCCACTAAATAAAAATGGTGCTTTGAACTCAGCCAACAACACTTCATGCTTTGCACACCTGGCAGAAATCTTAAGATAATAGACATGAATATTTCTACATGTGTATTCAGGGCAATCCTAAGGTGGCATCTCATCATATTGAGCTGTATTTACCAAACATAACAATTCTTGTTACTTACATAGCTCTTTTCAGGTAGATCCCAGGTGCTGCACAAAGGCTCTCTCTCACTTTGAATTACACAGACATGGAAACAGAGTTGCAATGATGACAAATGACCTGCCTATAGTCACAATGGAAACCCAGGTCTCCTGATTCCCAGTCTCGTGCCCTATGCACTAGTTCCTTTGGACCAGGGTTTTGGGCATTGTTTTAACCATAAAACTTCCTTGCTTCTGCATCACCACCTTAGCATCACTTCACCATATTTGTCAGTAAAGTTCTTTACCTCTATTAGATTAAAATATTCCAAATAGCTACAGTGATTAATTTGGATCACATCCCTATTCCACTCAAATCTCTTTTCCACTGTCTTCACTGTTATTGCACCTTTTGACCCTCTAAAGTTTTGTGAAAAACTAATGGATAAGAAGTGAATATCTTGTTCTCAGTCTGTCATGTTAAACTATTGTTTTGTTTTCTTTTCCATGACAGCAAGTAGTGCTTACCTGGAAAAAGGTCTCTTTTCCTGCCAAGATGTGTGTGTTTGAAAGGCAGTTTAGCTTGTTAGAAGACTGCTAAAAGTTCCTAAAAGTTAGCATGATTTTTTGGATCTGGAGAGGAAAAACCATCAGGAGACACTCAATTATTATTTTATTATTCTGTTTAATAATACAGAAGTTTGATTGACTGTACCAGTAAGGAGTTCTGGTTGTGCTAATCGTTTGGCAAAATATAAATGGGTCTTTATTTGCTTGGGTTTTCAAAAGCATACCATACCTGTAATGGGATGACAGATAGCCTTTTGCTGCACAACCTTGGGTTATCTATCATCAGAACCAGCAGGTTCCCTGATGAACACTGGCCCTTAAAATACATAACCAGTATGTACAGCATTTATTTCAAAGAGTTAAAGAGCAATATTATTCTATACATAATTAAATCAGAATGAAAATAGTGAATTACTGCACAAAGGAGCTTCAGTTATATAACAGAGATATCTAACTAACTTGTTCAGAAAACAGAAAAGCAGGAAAGCATTCTAATCACATTCATTATGGACCATCAAGAGCCAGAACAAGGTTTGTGGGTTTCTCCCAAAGTCTCTGATGACTTCTTCCTAGCCAAAACTCAGAACTATTACTCCATCCTCATTCTCCTAGACCTGTCAGCTGCCTTTGATGCTATTGACCGTGTCTTTCTTGTACTCCCTTGCCTCCAGTGACTCTGTCCTCTCCTGATTTTCCTCCTACCTCTCTAATTGCTCCTTCAGTGTGTCCTTTGGAAGATCCTCCTCATTGCCCATCCAACTTTCTGTAAGGGTTCCACAAGGCTCTGTCCTTGGACCAATTCTTTTCTCCCTCCTCATTATCTCTGGGTAATCTCATCCACAAACACAAATTCATGACTCAGGCTCCTAAGTGCTACAGAAATAAAAATGATAAAGTTTGCAATGTAGGAAAGGTTGTATTTGTTTTGGGCTTGGTTTTCCTGCACATTTGCCAGGTTATTTGGTCTTAGATTCCATCTTCACTACACCTGGCCCTCCCTTAAATAACACCACTAAGGTATATTTTTCCTTTACAGGGTCTTGAACTTCACCATTTCCCCAGGAAATTGACACTATCTTTGTGTTTACCCTCATGCTGGGAAAAAAGTGAAGTGACCATACTACGAGCAAAGGTGCTTTGGTAAACCTATACTTGCACTCACAAAGTGCTTTCCACCAACACACCCCTAAAAACACTTCACAAACGGGTACATATCAATATCCCCAATGCAAAGGTTGGAAAAGGGTGATTAAAGATGTTACAGGAGATCATAGAAATGATCACATACTGGATCAGACCAGTGGTCCAGCTAGTTTAGCATCTACTCTCCAACGATGGACAGTACCAGATACTTCAGAGGAAACATCCTG